GGCAGGATTTGTTATTGACAAATCTGTGTTGGCTTCTCATTATTACTGCATTGTTTTCTAGGTGGTGCCACAATGACCGCTTTACAATTTGTTCCAGAATTTTCCTGGGATTGATGAAAGGCTGCCTGGCCTGTAGTTCCCAGGTTCCTCTTTTTTGCCCTTTTTGAAGATAGAGACAACACTAGCCCACTTGCACTTCCAATTTATTTGGAAGTTCATAGTTTGTCTTATGGGAAAAGACGGAACTAAAATAGGAATTGAGCACCTCTGCCTTTTCTTTGTCCTCTGTTATCATTTTTCCCATCTCCATTGTGAAGCTGTGCCATTACAGTGGGGTCTTGACTTGAGAACTTAATCCGTATTGGAAGGCGGTTCTCAAGTCAAAAGTTCTCAGGGCAAATCTGCATTTCCTATAGGAATGCATTGAGAACCATTTGATCCGTATCTGCTCTTTTCCGTCCATAGAAACTAATGGGAAGCTGCTATTCCGCCTTCGACCACTAGAGGGGGATATTTTGTTTCTTTTTTTCTTAGGTCAAGAAAGGTTCAGGGAAGGCAGGGAAAATACAGTCCAGGCAGTACAGTACCAGGCAGTCCGAAGACTGTCTCCCAATCCACTCTCTAAACGCTGGGAGGAGTGAGGAAGCAGACAGGCACCCTTTCCACTGGCCAACAGTTAACTGAAAGTTCAAATTTTGCACTTTCCCTGCCTCCCACATGGTTTTTTTTTCAGTTCTTAACTCAAATCTAAGTATGTAAGTCAAGTCAATATTTTCCTATGAGAGTGGTTCTTAAGTCAAAATGTTCTCAACTCAAGCCGTTCTTAAGTCAAGACCCCACTGTATATCTTTTGTTTGTCTTTGCTACTCACATACCTGAAGAATGCTTTTTTATTGCTTTTAGTGTCTCTGTCTAGCTAACCTCAGCTCCTTCTCAGTTTTTGCACTCCTAATGCTACCCCTGCATTTCCTTGCTACTTGTCTATACTCATCTTTGGTGGCCTGGCCTTCTTTCCACTTCCTGTAATGTCTTTTTTTCTTTTGTTTTGAGGTCCGCCCTGAGCTTTTTGTGAAGCCACAGTGGCATTTTTTTTGCCACCTCCCACATTTTTTTTCTTATTGGGATTGTTTGTAGTTTCAAATTTCATATGATGTTGGAGGAAAAAAAACAACAACGGAGCAAGCCCCAGCAGGAGGCGCTGGGGCTGCAAAAAAACAAAAACTAAAGAAAAAAAGCTCCGAAGGTGCTGGGGCTTTAAAAAAATTAAAACCAAATACAGTGATGCCTCGCATTACAATGTTAATTCGTTCCAGCGAAATTGATGTAGAATGAAAACATCATAAAGCGAAATTAAAAAGCTCATAGAAATGCATTAAAACCTGTTTAATGCGTTCCGAGGGGCTTGAAACTCACAGTCCAGTGAGGATCCTCCATAGGGTGGCCATTTTTGCTGCCTGTCTTGCGAGGAATCTGTCCCTAAACATAGCGGGGAGCCATTTTATTTACCCATTTTGAAACCGCCGATCAGCTGTTGGAAAATCGTCGTTTTGCGAAGAATCGGTTCCCGAAGCAGGGAACTGATCATTGCAAAGCGAAATTCCCCCATAGGAAACATTGTTTTGGGATAGCAAACGATCGCAAAAGGGATCGCAAAAAGTTCATCGTAATGTGATTTCGTTGTTAAACGAAGCGATTGTAATGTGAGGCACCACTGTATAAACAACAGAGCAAGCCCCATCATAAAGTGCTGGGGCTGCAAAAAAAATCAGCAAAAACCAAAACAACAATACAGCACAGAAACATAACCCCCCCAGCTCAAACGCACGCTGCAAAACCCACCCAGAACAGTTTTTAAAAAGCAGAAAGCAGCACCTTACCTTACCAGGCAGTCCCAAGCCACTTCTGACGCAGTCACTCTAACCTTTGGGGTGAAAGAGCTACAAAGAAGCAGCCTTTTCACCTACCAACAGTTAGCAAATTTGAATTCCCCACCTTTTTCCCTGTCTTTTTCCGGTCACAACTGGAAGCTCTGGCTGCAAGTCAAAGCAAAATTTTGCGGCCAGAGCTGGTCCTAATTCAAAATTATCGTAAGTCAGGTTGTTCGTAAGTCGAGACACCACTGTATTGAAAGGCAGACGTAGATTCATTTGTATCTTAGCCTTTAGTGCCTTACAGACTTTAAAAAATAAAAATAAAAGCTAGCACTCCAGCAAGTTAGTGGTTTAAACAGACACTAGGTAAAATGCCCAAAATCCATGTAAAACCCAATCAACTTTAAAGTTGCTGAACCTCCTTCCATACATATTCTAAGAATTTATTCAGCAGTTCTCTGAATGAGTATATATTAATACATTATACACAGAGAAAAGGCGGGGGAGAGATTGATTTAGGAACAAGCACGAATTCACAGACAATACACAGAAGTACAAAAATTAGAAGTAAATGTTTAAGTAGCTTAATCTGCTAGAGTCCCATCTCAAACCAATTGCAAGCAGTTATGTCAGATCTCTTCTTTTGTCAGACACCTATGCTTGAAACGAAAGCCTGCAGTACTATCCATAAGTTGTAGCTCTTTGGGAGGCAACCTGTAGAGCCTAATGGGCAGCAAAACTATGACTCCCAGGAAACACTTCACCAGCTTTCTCTTTTCTTTTCAAATCAGCAAGAGGAAGCAAAAGTTAGAGAAGTCAATGATGTAAGTAAATGACTCAAAAGCTCTTTTTGGCAGGGCACGGGTTGACATATGTGCAGATTTGGGTTTGTGGGCTACAAGTCCAGGAGTTATTGGAGAATTCCAGGAATTGCAACCCAGAAACATGAAAGAGAATAACCAGTCGAAAACGCCACAAAAACTCAAAGCCAGTTATGCCTTTCCCATAATTTTTACTTATGGTATCCAGTTCACTCCCTAAGGTTTTGCAGGAATTTGTCACTTTTGAATATCTTTAACTATACAGTGGTGCCCTGCATGACAACAATAAACCATTCTGTTAAAATCGCTGTACAGAGAAATCGTCGTCATGCGGAAAAAAAAACATTGGAATGCATTGAAAACTGGTTAATGTGTTCCAATGGGGAAATAACTCATCATCGAGCGAACATCGCCCATAGAGAACAGCCGATCAGCTGTTTAAAATTGCTGTTTTGCAAAGCTTCTGTCCGGAAAACATCCATTTTGCGAAGGGAAGCCATTTTGCAGAGCCGGAAAAATCATAGTTTTGCGAACAAACGGTTCGTGAAGCAAGGACCTAATCAACGTAAAGCGAAAAACCCCCATAGGAAACATCATTTTGCAATCACAATTTCGATCGCAAAAAAGTCATTGTCAAGCGATTTTGTCGTTTAGCGGGGTAAGCGTCTAGCGGAGCACCACTGTATTCTGTTCTTCAAATAACCTCTATTTCATGAATGTGGGATAGTGTTTTATTGTATTCACGGTCTGAAGTGCCAGGAAATGGACTGCACGATATCATGTCCATATTACCAATTGGAAAAAGGACTCCAAACTTGACATAGCAAAAGGCAGCCTCAGTGTTTACTACGCCCGTGTCACCAGTCACAGATACCCTTTTGTGCAGATGAGCGGAATGGAGACTTTGTCATGAGACTATGACAGGATATAGGCACCAAAATGCTGCTAACATCATGTAAGACCATCAACAGACACAAAGCAAAAGCGAGTAATTTCATAGCTTAAATAAGTGAGCTTGTGAATATATGTTCTGTATTTCTTTTCTAAATACATTTAAAAAATATTTTAAATGCCTATATTTTTTAAATTTTTCTAATATTCTTTTTGTTTCTCCACTTTTACAATCAGACACAGAAACCCCTTGCAAGGACAATTCTAATAAACCTATGTGGCCAGAGAGGAGTTCAAAAAGAGTTAGCTAAGAGCCTGCCCATTGCATATTGATTGATTGGGTCAAAAGTTCAGATTGTCTCAGACGTGGAGCTCTTTTCTCCTTTGCAAAGGTACCTGAGGAGACTGTTTGACTTCAGATATTCTGAGATAATATTTATTGAAGATACATTACAAAATATCTCTCTTTCTGGAGGACTGTCACTCTATTGCTTTGTGTAAAGCACACCAGGGCGACATGGTGGTGGTCATTTTTTAAAGAAAACTTGTCTTTTTAGTCTCTTTCCGTGATCTTTCTCTTGAAATATCTCCCTCCAGTTATGAATGTATTTGTTGCTATTATTATATGTCATCAAGTCAACTCCGACTTATGGCAATCCTATGAACAATCTCCAAAAATGTTGTGCCCAGCTCTTGCAAACACAAGCCTGTGGCTTCCTTCAGGGAGTCAATCCATCTAATATTTGATCTTCTTCTCTTCCTGCTGCCTTCAGCCTTTTCTAACATTATTGTCTTTTCCATAGAATCCTGTCTTATGGTGTGCCCAAAGTAGCACGTCAGTGAAACAATGTTTCATTTCACAAAGCTCCTGTTGGCTATTCTGCAACACATACTGTATGCTCAGTCTTTTAATAAAGTAACTTCTTTTCCCTTTAAAAAGTCATTTTTAAAGGATCAATATTTCAGCCCCAGCAGCCTGGATTCTTTCTAAATTAAAAAGCAAGTGGGATCAACTATGCTCTATCAAAATAAGCAAGACTGGCCTTTTCAATCTATGCCATCTGTTTTAAATTTGGGGATGTTTAGGGTCACCTGTTTCTGAATGGGAGGTGGCTTAAAATAGTTTCACTTTTTAAAAAAATCACAACTTGAAAACCCTTTCCCAAGCTTCCCCAAATGTGGCACAGGTCAAGAATAGATTGTCTGTGACAGCTGTGCCAAATTTGATGCTGATCTGAAGCCCCGTTAGAAAGTTATAATTTGTTGTTTGTGCTGCTCCAATTTTTAGAATTGCTGTATAGAATGCTGATTTGCTCTGCCATCGTACAGCAATAATGTAGTCAACACCGAATCTCATATGTGAGAAGGTTATCTTATAAGGTGTATTGACAATAATGTTGTCTGTTGGATTTTCCAGGTCATCGACCTGTACTGGGGAGTTGAACCAGAAGAATGGGACAGCCCAGAGCTCCAGAAAACACGCATGAGGCTTTTAGAAGATTGCCTGAAAACATCTGCAGGTCCATGTTTTGTTGTGGGTATAAAAATACGTTTTACCTAATTAACCTAGAATCTGTAGTGCACTTGCAGACTTTTTCTTAGGGCAAACTTTTTAACAGAGGAACTCTTAAAGAGTTTTTTTTTAAAAATCTATTCTGTAATTGATTCTGCAAATGTTCCTCAATATTCTTTGTAGTGTATTATTTTAAAATTTTTACAGCACATCACCATTTCTATAATGTAGATCAGGGGAAAGGGGTTGAATCCAAATGGCTAATAACTTGTCTAAATATTTCTAGTAAGCTTATTGGTCAAGTGAGATTCAAAAGATGATGGAGGCAGAAAAATGAGATTTGACAGTCCTAATGTGCTGTTTGCCTTTTGCATCTTTTTGCTGTTTGTTGTGGCTTTTCGTCTTTCCAGTGCATTATTATTTGTACCGGAGGCTCATCACACTAGACCAGATTTGGACTAAAAGTGCAACTGAACTGAAGTTTCATAACAGAGCTAGCAGAGTTTAGCAATTGGAGAACCAGTATGCATGCTGAATTCTACTGAATTCTTAGATAGCTCTGTGTGTGTGTGTGTGTGTG